CAGCTAGCAACTTTTCCATTCTTCGTATTTTTAGTAGAAAATGGTGAAAATCGGGATAAAAGTTCTTCATTTCAGGTAGCATTAATGTACTTTTAATGGGTGATCCGGGCGTCGCGAAATCGCAGCTTCTTTCGTATGTTGATCGATTGGCGTCACGCTCTCAATACACAACAGGTCGCGGTTCGTCGGGTGTTGGTCTTACAGCAGCTGTAATGAAAGATCCAGTGACCGGAGAAATGACCCTCGAAGGAGGTGCGCTGGTACTTGCTGATCAGGGCATTTGTTGCATCGACGAGTTCGATAAAATGATGGACGCCGATCGAACCGCCATTCATGAGGTTTGTACCTGTATTTTATGAGTTATATGTATGTAAGCGATCACCCGGAGAGACTTTGAAAAAGTAGCGGCATACTGACTAAAACTGTGCAGCTCAGGATCGAAGAGCCTGACATAGCTGCCCTCCTTATGTGGTAGCATCCCTGTAACTCCACCGACATGAAATTCTTGCGCTTATTGCCCGGCGATCTTTGTATTTGTTTCGCATCCGTCCATTAATCGCACAGTCAGAAATTTTCGGAAAAAAAACTGGGGAGAGGGGGGGGGGCGGTTGCTCAATTTTGAGTGGGTTTAGACATTTGTGGCACTTTTTAACAAGGAAAGGCGTATTAAGAAATACTTTATTACTTGATGCTTTGAAGCTTGTTACTGTTGATAGTCAGAGGATATTATTTCAGCTTCCCTCTAAGGAGATAAATGGTCAAGAGATATCTTGCATGCATCGGATAGGTGGTGGACACTAGCTGGACATATGTAATTCAGAAATGAGAGCTGACGAGCAGTGGGTGCATGTTAGAACAAATGAAAATTTATCAGAATTTTTTAAGGTAATGGAGCAGCAGACAATTTCAATAGCAAAAGCTGGTATACTGACGACGCTGAATGCGCGAGTTGCAATCATTGCAGCTGCAAATCCAGCATTTGGCCGGTATAATCCAAAACGAAACATCGAACAAAATATCAATCTTCCAGCGGCGCTTCTTTCACGATTCGATCTCCTCTGGCTTATTCAGGTTCATTTTTGCTCATTATGATAAAATAATGAAGCTGGGATGGAGTGTTAAGATTGCAGATTTTTCTTGGGGAGGGAAGAGAGGGTGGGAAGAAGTTGATAGCAATGGTTCAAATGAACGGATTCTTGGGAAAAAAAGGAAGGGTATCGTTGTTAGACTATTTCAGACTGATGACGGTTAGGAGAAAAGTTCCTTTTGTTGTTGGTCCCAGCACCAGTACCACATTTCTTCGAAATCTGATACTAGAGAAACCAGTTAGTCCTACTGTTAATTTCAAGGGAGGGCTTAAATGT